CAATGATCAAGGTAGTGGCACCGCAGATGGTCCAGAGAGTGGTCGACAGAGCCATGCAGGTATGTACTATAGGCAGTTTCTGTATATTATACAGTTGGTGACTTAAGCGAGCCCATAGTCATCTGAAATCTGCATGAATACGGCACTCTCTGTGCTTTGAATTTTGCCCTCTCTGTATTTGCCAATGGAAGAGAACCCACACCTCTAGTTGCACCATCTTTTTTATCAGAAGCTGCGGTGCTTTCCATACGTAAATTGCTCACACATACGTAAATTGCTCGGCAATAATGTATTGCATTTGTTATATATAGTAGCAGTTCTCCGTGTTAGGTTCTAAAGGTGGGCTATATAACTACATATCCCTCCCTCCTTCCCTCTTCCCCTTATATAGGCTCATGGAGCAATGGGCCTGTCCGGAGACAGACCCCTTGCCCAGTTCTTCTCCTTGGCCCGCATCCTGAGGCTGGCCGACGGACCAGACGAGGTGCACGCGGCGGCACTGGGAAAGATGGAGATAAAGAAGAACCAGAGATAGAGTGGACAACAATAGCGCGCATGTGTATATACTTTAGCGCATGTGTTTAAAAATTTGACCTTTGAACCACACCACGTGTGCGAAGAGAATGGAAGCGGGCGAGGATGAGAAGCGAGTTTTGGCTCAGTTCAAGAGCGAGGACGGCGTGTTGGTGGGCACGCCGTTCGACCTCCCTCTGGGTGTCACCAAAGACTCCCTGGCGGCTCTGTGCACCGCCGTCCTAGAAAACGTGAGTCGTACAAACTCACTAGCTCGCTCTTGTTTGCTCGTTGGCGAAGAGGCGCTAGCTGTTGACTGATGGTAACATTAACGGTACTACCGTGTTGTGTGATACATCATGCAGCAGTCGATGTCATGGTGATGTCGTCACATCACGTGACCCCCACCATACACCCATACATTGAGGCTGCACGAGCGTGTATTGATGCCTTTAGGATGATGAGACGGTGTATGAGTTCTACGTGCACGAGCTGGAGGTGCGGGAGAGTCTGGCTGAGGTGTTGGAGAGGGGCAGTGGAGGGACGGAGAGGTTGGTGGAGATTGTCTACCAGCCTCAGGCCAGGTTCAGAGTCCAGTCCATCACCCACTGTACCAGCAGCATACCAGGTAGGCATAGCTAGTATCATACCTATGAAGTGGGGTCTCATGTGGTCTCTAGTGTAAAGGTATAAATGAAGTGAACTGGAGGTATATAGTCAGTGGGTTGAATTTTTTCAATGAGTTGTACTGACTTTTGTGTGTTCTTAGGTCATTCGGAGGCTGTGATTGCTGTTCAGTTTAGTCCTGATGGACGGTAAGTGAGGTTATAGTGACATCATCAATCTCCACAAATATAATTCTCCTGTGTATGGTATGGGGGATGGAGAGCTGAATGGGGAGGGAGAGACTAGGAGGAATGGGAGGAATAAAAAGACAAAAAGAGGGAGGGAGTGGTGTATATAAAGGGGGCAGAGAAAGAAGGAACGGAAGAGAAATAGAGAGAGAGATGTTTGTGTCCCCAGGTCTCTTGCCAGTGGGCTCTGGAGACCACAACGGCTGAGACTGTGGGACATATTCACCGAGACCCCCACTGCACACCTGCAAGGCCCACAAACACTGGATACTGTGCATTGCGTGGTCGCCGGACGGGAAGAGACTGGACTCTGGCTGCAAGAATGGACAGGTCGGTTTCCCATCTTCAGTAGATGTGGTGAGGTTGTATATATATTGATCGTATAACTAGTAGAATTTTCGCCAAATATCAGCCGCATGCCCTTTGCCAATAGCCCACCAGCCTTACTAGGTTTCCATAACGTTTTTCGCAGCACTTGTTTTAAAAAATTTTTTTACATGTGTGTGTACGGTAATCCTAATATTAAATTTTTTGTGGGTGGCGATTATATGGACAATCTCCAAATTTAGTCTCTGTGAAAATGTTTTTTGTGTGTGTGTGTCTTCAGGGTGTGTGTGTGGGAGGCAGAGACAGGGAGACAGGTGGGACACACCTCTCTCGGTCACAAACAGTGGATCACCTCTCTCGCCTGGCAGCCCCTTCATTTGTGAGTCTATTATATACCTTCACTGGGTAGTAGAGCATTGCATGGGAGAGTGTTGGAGTATGCCTGCTTTACATTAGTGCTGACAGGGCACGGACAGACTAGTAGAGCATTGGAGTGTTGGAGTATGCCTGCTTTACATTAGTGCTGACAGGGCACGGACAGACTAGGTATGAGTCATTGAGTGTTGGAGGTATGCCTGCTTGTAATCTATTAGTGCTGACAGGGCACGGACAGACTAGTAGAGCATTGAGTGTTGGAGTATGCCTGCTTTACATTAGTGCTGACAGGCACAGACATAGACTAGTAGCAGCATTGCATGTGGGAGGGTGTTGGATACCATTAGTGCTGACAGGGCATGGACAGGACTAGTAGAGCATTGCCATTGGGAGGGTGTTGGATACATTAGTGCTGACAGGGCACGGACAGACTAGTAGAGCGATTGCATTGGGAGGGTGTTGGATACATTAGTGCTGACAGGGCACAGACAGCTATGCATTGAGATGTACCAAAAACAGACCAACCACAACTTGAGTTCTAATGGAGACCGAAGACGGTACATATATAGCATGTTGCAATGTGAATAGCGTTGTGCCTGCAAGTTCACACATAGCAGATATATTTGGCTTGTACTATAATATGGCTCATGTTGCTCAATCTTTCCAGGGACCATCTTGTAGACTGCTGGCCAGTGCGCTCAAAGGTACGTATACTTGCTGTGAGCAATTTTTAGATCACATGACGCATCATGTGATTGTTGTTGCCATGACAGGATGCGACAGTGAGGATATGGGACGTGGTGCTGTGTAAGGCGGTGATGGTCCTCTCTGGCCACACCCAGTCTGTGACGGGCATTAAATGGGGTGGGGAGGGACTCGTCTACACGGCTTCACAAGATAGGACCATCAAAGTGTGGAGGACAAAAGATGTGAGTTTGTGTGTTTATACGTACCACTAGTTAGTTTAAGAAAGTACTAAAGTCTGTATAATTATAATTATATTATGTTGCCTGACTCTCTTCTCATTTCCATGTAGCGGGTTATTCGTCCTGTTTAATTAATGTCTATTCTACGTATAGATAAACAGAAGACAGATATTAGTGGCTCGATATTCACATGCACCTGGACACACGGCATAAAATCGGGAAAAACTAAATCTCCTCTTTCTCCTTACTCTGCCTCACTCTTCCCACGCCAGGGATGTCTCTGTCGCAGTCTCCAAGGTCACGGTCACTGGGTCAACACCATGGCTCTCAGCACCGACTACTCTCTCAGAACAGCTGCATTTGACCCCGGCGACCCCGACCCTCCAACACACGGGAGTCCAGAAAATGGGCCGTAAGTATTCTGCAGCTATGAGTTCTCATGGGTTAACTGTGGTTTGCTAAGTGGGGGGGTGTTTTTAATTTTTAATGAGGTTTTTTTCTTTCATTTCAGAGCTCCAGAGAAGGGCCCTTGTTAGATACGAGGCAGCTAAGGTAATGTGTTCATCCATAGAATAACACCACACTGCCGGACTATACACATTTGAGGGTTGAATATACACACAATCTCTGTCACTGTCACATCTCTAGCTATGTCCATTTTGCCCCTCTCCCTCGCCCACTTCCCCATGTGGTGCATGTGGTTTTTCTCACTGAGTTTGTTTGTTAGATGTGAGGTAGAAAACTAGGTGTTGGAGGTGTGTGTGTGTGTGTGTGCATGCAGGAAGGCAGTGGAGGGAGAGAGGTGTTGGTTGTCTGGTTCAGATGATTTCACTCTCTTTCTCTGGAACCCATCCAGAACCACGCACAGCAGAACACATTGCCAGAGGACCGTGATGAGAGATGTACTACAGTCTATATCGAGCCAGACGCATGGTCCTGCCCACACTCCACCTTTCAATGTCCCCAAGGTGTCCCTTACTCAGAGTTTAACCACCGAATATAAGGGTCACCTCTGAATAAAGGAAACATTTGGTGTCCCTTATTCAGAGTTTAACCACCAAATATAAGGGTCACCTCTGAATAAAGGAAACATTTGGTGTCCCTTATTCAGAGTTTAACCACCAAATATAAGGGTCACCTCTGAATACAGGAAACATTGAGTGTCCCTTATTCAGCAGTTTAACACCATGTAATAGGTCCCTCTGATGAAGGAACATGTGGTGTCCCTTATTGCAGAGTTTTAAGCCACGCGAAATATAAGGGTACACCTCTGATAAAGGCACAGTATGGTGTCCCTTATTCCAGAGTTTACCAAAAGAAAGACCGAATATACGGGTCCCTCTGATAAAGGAAGCTTTGGTGTCCCTTATTCCGATACTCACCAAGATAAGGGTCACCTCTGAATAAAGGAAACATTTGGTGTCCCTAGGTGTCCCTTACTCAAATATAAGGGTCACCTCTGAATAAAGGAAACATTTGTTGTCCCTAGGTGTCCCTTACTCAAAGGATTCACTGACACCCAATTCTCCTACCAAAACGTGTATTATGCACAGGTCACCAGCAGCTAATCAACCAAGTGCTGTTCTCACCGAATGCCAGACTCATAGCCAGTGCCTCCTTCGACAAGTCCATCAAACTATGGGACGGGAGAACCGGCAAGTGAGATAAACCGAGCATTACTATAAGGAATGCAAAGCATTTTCGGCGAGTGAAAGTGAGAGTGTGAAATTTCCACTATTCGTGACAGTGAAATGGATATCCAGCATTCAGATGACTATGTGTACACCCGTTTCACTTGTGAAAGCAGAAAACGGCATCGTCCATTGTCAGCGGGCTTTACCAAGGGGTGGCCGGGTTTGTTACAACTGACCGTACCTACTTGTTAACCTTTAAACTGCAACTCTGAAACTAAAGCCCATAATTGTACATGATGCAACTTTTTTTGTAAGACGAAGTTCATTGTGAGTGGATTGAAGCCTAGCCTATATTACCACATGGGTTCGATTAGCATGTCTCAACAACTTGGTAACGAGGTAGAAAGGCAAGTCAAGGCAAACAAGTCAACTACACCCAGGACAGCTCAAAGAAAAGAAGAAGAGCTGCCCTGGGTGGGATTGGAACCCACCACACTCTGCAGTCTAGGCGAGCACTCTACCAACTGAGCTACCAGGGCAACTCAGCTCATGTCTCTCTAATGGTGTACGTATTACTGTTAGATACGTGGCCAGTCTGCGAGGCCACGTGAGTGCAGTCTATCAGATCTCGTGGTCAGCTGACAGCCGACTCGTCTGCAGCGGGAGCTCCGACAGCACTCTCAAAGTCTGGGACATCAAGACCCGCTCCCTCCTCACCGACCTTCCCGGACATGCAGACGAGGTATATAACCCTCTCACCTGATTGGTCGATTAGCCAATGATGTCGTGATGATGTCGTAGGTATTTGCAGTGGATTGGAGTCCGGACGGGGAGAGAGTGGCAAGTGGTGGGAGAGACAGAGTACTGAAGTTGTAAGTCCACAACTGGCGACGTTGTGTGTATTGGTGATGATCTTACGAATCTTTCTCTACAGATGGAGACGGTGAAATGGTATTATTGTTGATAGGGATCAAAGCGACTAAAGCACGACCAGAACATTTTATAAACACACCCTTAAGGTCCATTTTTTGTGCAGTATACTCATGCCATCCATCATGGTACTGGTGGCTACTGGTGGAAAGGTACATATTGTCAGTATACCCATGCCATCCATCATGGTACTGGTGGCTACTGGTGGAAAGGTACATATTGTCAGTATACTCATGCCATCCATCATGGTACTGGTGGCTACTGGTGGAAAGGTACATATTGTCAGTATACCCATGCCATCCATCATGGTACTGGTGGCTACTGGTGGAAAGGTACATATTGTCAGTATACTCATGCCATCCATCATGGTACTGGTGGCTACTGGTGGAAAGGTACATATTGTCAGTATACCCATGCCATCCATCATGGCTACTGGTGGCTACTGGTGGAAAGGTACATATTGTCAGTATACCCATGCCATCCATCATGGCTACTGGTGGCTACTGGTGGAAAGGTACATATTGTCAGTATACCCATGCCATCCATCATGGCTACTGGTGGCTACTGGTGGAAAGGTACATATTGTCAGTATACCCATGCCATCCATCATGGTACTGGTGGCTACTGGTGGAAAGGTACATATTGTCAGTATACTCATGCCATCCATCATGGTACTGGTGGCTACTGGTGGAAAGGTACATATTGTCAGTATACCCATGCCATCCATCATGGTACTGGTGGCTACTGGTGGAAAGGTACATATTGTCAGTATACTCATGCCATCCATCATGGTACTGGTGGCTACTGGTGGAAAGGTACATATTGTCAGTATACCCATGCCATCCATCATGGTACTGGTGGCTACTGGTGGAAAGGTACATATTGTCAGTATACCCATGCCATCCATCATGGCTACTGGTGGCTACTGGTGGAAAGGTACATATTGTCAGTATACTCATGCCATCCATCATGGTACTGGTGGCTACTGGTGGAAAGGTACATATTGTCAGTATACCCATGCCATCCATCATGGTACTGGTGGCTACTGGTGGAAAGGTACATATTGTCAGTATACTCATGCCATCCATCATGGTACTGGTGGCTACTGGTGGAAAGGTACATATTGTCAGTATGATAACCAGCCCTTTGCATGTATATATACATCGTGAGGTTCAACGCCAATTTGATGCCCACTTGACCTCTCGCATTTCACGTGATGCTGCTTTCCATGCGAAGTTAATTCCATGCTCGTAGTAGTTAAGTATCCCTTCCAAAAAATAAATTCAGATCACTTTTGCCAAATAAGAGAACAGGCCACACGGCACTATCCAGTGACAGCCGTTTATAAAAAAGGAAAAACTAGGTATATAGGCTTGCTTTGCATGCCACTAGGGTGTAGTTTACAAATAGGCCAAGTCTAGTGTCCCGCTGTGCTACCAGGCGGCTTTCCGGTGCTCCACAGCGAGGCGGACGAAGTGGGAGTGGCTGGCGTAGAGACTGAGACCAGAGTGGACCTCCGTCCACGCCACGGCAGCCGCGTCGTCCCCGGCAACCAGATTCAGCTTACTGAAACCCTCACCTACATCATCATCATATGTAGTGTGTGTTTCCACACCTCAATCCCCAATGTACATATATACAAAGGCCAGGGAGAGAGATTGTCTGTCATTGAACTCGGGCATTATCAGTGACTGGGTATTATGCATTGAGTTACAACTCAGAACAAAAATTGACCTTCGTTCCCTGTATGATTGCTAAGTAAAGTATATATAGCACTATCAGCATGTGAACATAATCAAACTGTAGCTTACATGCTTATCAGCAAAAACAGAGATATGGGGCATGTTTATTAATCTGTCCCCAAATATCAATCACGTCTTGTGTAAACAGCAGTGGGTGCAGTAATGACTGGTTTGTGTAGATATAATATATATCTGACCTGAGTCGTCATGAAAGTTAAAGACAACTGTCTCCATCCAGGCATTGTCTGTGTTCCGAGGATCATCGACATACCCTGCATACAACTACGCACATTGGGGAGGCAAATAGTAAAATAGCGTATTCACAGACTCAAACTGGCATCTTGAAGGAAAATATTCGTGCTACATAGCAATTTCACACAGGATGACGAGCCTAGTATGTAAAAATGTCTCCCACAAGAATGTGATTCATGCCTTGTCTCCAGACTTGAAGAGGTGGTTGATGTGCTCTTCAATCTTTCTCTTCTCCTCGTCCGTGGCCTCGAGGGAGTTGAGCGCTTCTTCTCCAAACTCCTTCTTGAGTGTGGCCGACACCGTGTCTCCTGCCTCCACCATTCCCTGGAGGGAGGGGCTCAGACTGTAAGGTAAATCAACTGATACACATTTAGGCCCAAAATTCAAATCCTTTCGCTGCTGTATATTTCGAATTTACTAACACGTAACACAGATGTAAAACAATGCAAAAGCCCACCTGACTTCCTGTGGGCCCCTAAGAGTTTTAATTCACACACAGCTCTCCTTCTCTATCATTTTGTGGTAGTGCAACTTACTCCAGGGATAGCCCAGGCTCCAGTGTCTCCTCTTCTGACAGCCACAAACTCCAACACTGGCTTTCCCTCTCTCTCCACTCTAGCTCCACTCCCATCTCTCTTCCACCTGCACAGAGAGTGACACTGTAAACAGGCCAACAACTACTGTATAGTATTTTTATTCAAATTTCCTTTCCAAGTGAGTTCCTAAACAGGATTGTGCTTTATTCATTCTTGCATGTGTATGCACCTGGATAATAGTTAGTTGTATTAAAATCTTTTGTGAACTCACCTGGTGACGACAGGGTCAGCTGCATGATTGGGTCCCCACCTCCCGAGCAGACCCCTCCCGATCATCCCTGTCCGACCCACTGGGTTCCTGCAGGCACAACGGGACAGAGAGGGAGGGAGAAGAGAGGTAGGGAACAGTTCTTCTAGAGAGGTGTGGGGGGGGGGCAAGGGGCCAATTTCCCCCCATAAATTTTGCCCCCTGGGCTCAAAATGAAGTGGTAGTAGTGATACCTGGGGACTTTGTCCATTATCTGGTAGGTGCCCATGTGACTCTTTCTGTCCACTTTACCGTCCAATGAGTTGAACTGCAGCGGTTTTTCCGGCTCCTCCTCCTTCCTGCAAATATACACAGAGCTTGTGTGAATACAACAGATTTTGAGGAAAAACAAATGTGGGATGTGGTTGTTTTGCTCCTAATTGTAACAAAAATGATTGACTGCTATGCCTCATTAGAGACCTGATGTCGGGGTCTGCCCAAACGGGACGGGAGAGGACGCGAGGTGCCGTGTAGTCCACGGGGTGGTATCCGGGGTAGTCCACGGACCAGGGGGTCTTGTCTTCCGGCACGGGGAACCGCCGGACGCCGCCCAGGTACTCCAGGGGCTGCCTGTGAGTCGTGAAAGTAGTCGCCATCCTTCGGAGCCACGATATCCCAGCTGTAGCAGCGGCCAGCTCTCGAAATCAGCACAGCAAATCCTGTGTCCCCGTGTGTTGCACTCAGCTACACCCTTAGATTGAGCCCCGCCCAGCTGCGCATGCGTATGCGGAATTGGCGACGGCCCGGATCGATGACGGTCAATCGAGAGCCGGTGACTAATTCTCCTTGTGCGATTGGGCAGGAAAATCCTGATCAGTATGTCTGTGGCGCAGCAGTTGAAAGACCTGAGAAGCGATGTGCGGACGCTTCTGGACTACGCACAAGTATGTAGCAAGCTAACGGAATTTCTAGCTAGCTATACACGATGTTTACCGTCGGCCGTCTAGGCGCTGAAGGCCGAAAACGAACGTTTGCGAGGTGCTTTTAGAGGTTCATTCGTCTTTCTCAGGAATAAAGAACAAGAGAAGGTGCGCAGTATTCGTGCAACTCTGTATTGTAATGTGAGATCTATAATCCGACAGGTTTTCAGAGCTGTCACGGAAGTTGGTGCTGCGTTTCCAAAGCTCAAGACAGTCCCCGACATTTCCCTTACCCACAGCAAAGCAACAGTGAGCTTACCCTACGCAATTCTATGCAAGTTATTTTCTTGTTATTTTCACTTTGGCATGGTAGCTACTATAGTCTAGCTCGTACTATAGAGTCTAGTCGACTGTGTAGTAAGTTACTAATCTGGCAGTGTATTGTGTTGTGTATTACATCAGCAACGATTAACCACCTTGCAGCATGTGACACACAGAGAGCTTGTGAGTGTGACTGTATTTCCCTCATCCCTCCCCTCAATAGAGCCATCATCTACCGAATGCCTCTGAAGGATTCACAGAGGAAGCAGCAGGTCTCCTGAATGGGGAGAATGAAGCTGGGAGAGAAGTGGGGAATGATGAAGCTCATAATGAAGGGAGTATTCTGAAACCTCAGTTATTCACTACAAGTGACTTAGCAGATGCACTACTGGAGCACAATAAGCTGTTGGGCAGACTTCGACAGTACACTATCTCCAGCAGTAACACCTCAATACCTACCTCCAGGTAATTTAAAAGCTGCACAACTAACATCTCCTTCTCACCTTAACAATTGATAGCCTAAGGACATAGGAGGAAGGACAGGCCAAGCAATGATTCTGAATGCATTCCCTGTAGCTGGAGAGTGCAATGCTTATTAAGCCCTCAGAATGGGGTTGCCTTATAAGTTTGTGATAAGTGTACATAAACTCTTATTTAAGCGGGGTAATATTGGCTCCAATGGCCAATTTCTGTTTTTGGACATACTGTTGATGGTTGGTGGGTGATCCCGTTGAGTAAACTCTGAATGTCCCACTCAAGATAATTTTATTGTTGTTGTTATTAGACTCATGTAAACAGCTCTCCAAACATCGGAGAGCATGATCTGACAGGAGCCGGTGTGGTTGGCTTTAGGGAACAACAAAACATGAATGTAAGCAGTGTATTTTGTGGCATTATTATTGCAGGATATCGATTACTTTCCTCCGTTTACAGGATTTTGCCGTTCATGTCAGTTGGTCAAATGAAAGTAGCTTTGAAATCTACCGAAATTACCTCGATTTCTTCACACTGCAGGTGTGTACAGCAAAGAGTTGAAGAACAGATTTTGACTACTAATGTGTTTTTGTTGTTCTCTACAATGTATAGGCAAGATTAAGGGAATTAGGGGTACAAAAAACAAGAACTCCGGAACTTCCATGTACGTTTACAATAAGCATATTAATGATTTTTCACTTTGCTCTCTGCTTTATGTAATAGTATCGGATCATCTTCTGGCAGTGTTGGGTCAACTCAGCTCTACTGAGTCACTGTACCATCGATACAAGTTGGTCGATTCATTTTGCAAAGTAAGACTTCACACGATACAGTAGGTCCAACCACAATCCAATCCTTTTTACCATCGGCTATTATTTCACAAGCACTGGTGTAAGTATGTTATTAAGTGTGTGATCTGACACAGTGCAATAGAAGTGTCTCAGGTGCCTGTAGAAATAACTATTTTCCCCTTTTGTGTAGGCATTGCTGGCAGTGTAAAGGGAAAGGAAGTTGGAGATGTTGGCAGGACTTCTGTACTGATCTTCTTTGTTCCCGTCTCCGAGACATACAAATAGAAACGTTAGCAGCTTTATTGCAACCCTTTCGTTTTCATTACACAATATTTATACACACACACACAACAGTACCAGGCTGGACAGTAGCTACAGTTTTGAAGCAGAAGGTAAGCAAAACCTGTCGGGGAAAGTCGTACCTTTGCTGCTGATAAACAACCTTCAAACGCTTCTCATAGTTGTTTGTTCTTAAGTTTGTTTCTGTATGATAATAGGAGAGAGTGACTTGGACAGTGAAGACTGCTTGGCTTCCTGTCTTCAGTGTGCTCTTGCTCACGACAGAAGTGGTACAACACACACAGCGGTAGGTTTTCACTTTCACCGAGGTAACTAGTAAACTCCTGAGGAATAGTAATCTTTACCCATGAGGCGTGTGATATACTATCGAGCTTTCCTTTCTACAATATGGTTTATCCGTGCATTATGCTGCCAAGGACATCTGTGTAGCATCTGAAGTAGTTTTTATAGTATGTTTTTTCTGTGTATTCCATAAGGAAATGTAATAAGCAATATATATATATATATTATATACATGAGCAATAGTAGTATATATAAATTATTATAATTATATTATGTTGACTGTTACATCTGTGTATAGCAGACCGGTTGGATGCTCGGAAACGGACCAACCAGAGAAGCCGAGAGCGAGAAAGGCAGACCTCAGATTCACAAGCCGTCCCTCGCACATCCTGTCCTCACCCACATGCACTCTGCACCCACGACACACCCAGTAGCCGTTACCCCATCGCGATCAAACACCGAAACTCCCCATTCTGAAGACCTCCTCTTCTCTCGACAGTGAACCCACTACGGTCCGCGTCAGGGAGCCGACGGCGGGGAAGTGTGGCCGGCTGATTTCAGACATCGTTCCTCAAATATTCTCAGTGGAGGAGAGGGAGAGCTCTCACTAGAGTCAAAGCCCTCTGTGTGAAGAGTGGCAACATGGACTGGGGGGTAAGTTCCACCCCAGATATATGAGAGCCTCCATCTATATTGGCTCTCCGTGCCAGTGCTATAATTATCATGGTTCTATTGTCGGATGTGTGTTAGATTAATTAAATGGGGTACACAAGCTAGTCTGTCGACCCATTCAAGTAATAGTGGGGACTGTCTGAAAATAATACTCGGGCCCATAGACTACGCACCTAGAGCAATGGGACGGAGCCATACATGCTGGTGTCAGGAAACGTTGCTCGATGAGAATGACATTTACAGGTACGGGAGACCTCAGCTGGCCACGCGAACCAGAAAAATAGCCGGAAGATGGAAGAGAACAAAACACTAGCACAGATGGCGGAGAAAGAACTTTCGATGTCAAACAGTTGATTTATCCTCATTGGAGCCTCAACTTGATTTCAACTCAGAAATTTTTTATCCGTTTTTGCACTATTGCTGCAGATATCAAATCAAAATATTTCCCACACAGTAGTACACACGGTGGCATACAACGTGTAAGAAAAATTCACAAGAGTTCAAAAAACTAAGTAAGTCTAAAATCTGCTACTATTGTTCCCACTGTCCACCAGACTGCACGAATAGCTATCTGTGTATTATAGCCTGTAGGAATAGGAGGTGGAAGGATTGGCAGGGGGCGGGGCCTCGAGAGCTCCGATAAGCCCCGTGGGCGGTGTTGAAGAGGTTAATGGGACTTGATCCGTCTGTTATCAGAGTGGACTTGAGCCCCAGACTCTTTAGCAGCTTCACCTGTGAAAGAACGGCAACCCTGAGTGAAAACACAGCTTCCCGAAGATATTGCGGCAAAGTATACATAATGTGAGGGGGCATGGGAAAAGGGACCTATATGGCTGGAATGTGAAAATGTTAACCACAAAAACTTAATTTTCACATTCCAGCCATATAGGTCCCTTTTCCCATGCCCCCCTCACATACATTTTGGACCCTTACTCAGTAGTTGGTTGCTAAATCACTAACATTTTCACTGAGCATAATGATCTTTATACACTTTGGGACCTTTGTACATGGTGCTACGTCTAACTATCTGGGGCTAAATAGACCACCACATGATCAGCACATTCGTGGGTAAGTATAGTTTTGCGTGTGATCAGGCGGACAATGTACAACAGTTCTCAATAGCTATTGTATGTACGTACGTCAGGCAAAGAGTGAAGTAGGGTAGTTGTAGAGGAAGGTTGAGGTGTTATGTATACTCGTGTACTGTTTAAATACCTGCCATCTCAGGGCCGGCAGTGGCAATAGCCTGAATGGTCTGCGAGCCAATGGCATCGACCATGTCCTTGAATTTATGTGTCCGATGGTCGCCATGTCCCTGGCCCTTGGCAATCTCGAGGGTCGTTCTGCTCCCTTACAAACTTTGTCTCTGCCTCCCGCGCACCCGACAACCTCTCCAGCTCTGATTCCTGTGAGAGTAATATTATACAACAATTAGTGGTAGTAGTCGCACGAATAAGGCTGGGGTCACAATACACATCGCATTGCCCTGTCAGCGCCTTGCAGCTTTTGCTGCACCGAGAGGATAGTTTCTAATCTCCGCAGCACAACGTGATGCAGCACAGTGCGATGGGGCGATGCAACATACCCAGCCTAAACTCTTATCATAATACTTATATAGCCCATGCAAATTTCAACGTCTCTAAGTTGGAACTGATTCCGAGGGTTTCACTGTACCTACCGCCTCAATCTGCTGGCTTGGGCCTTCAGTTTGGCCTGTTCTACTGCAGCCTGTCCCTCGATCTTGGCAGCCTCTGCTCGTGACTGGGCCTCAGCCTTGGCCTGTCCCGTCGACTCAACTGCCGCACTGTTGGCCTGCAGCTCCAGGAGCCTCCTTGCGTGCTCTTTCTGCCTCAGCCTCGTCCGTGATCTTCTGTCGCTCCAGAGCTCCCTTGGCCTTCTGCTCCAGCCTCTCTGCCTCGTGTCTGGAATGTATGGAGTAGCATATTATTCACATGTATAGCTACAGTCTCTCTCTCCCTCCATAGTATCATCTACATGTGTAGCTACACATCTCTCTTTCACTTCTCTATTGTAGTGGGTTGTCAGTTTTTGTGTTCCAGGATGAAGATGGGTTTTCTTTTCCCTAGGTTTTGTTCTTACACGTGTTTTTTCAGAATTCAAAGACTGGTAGTTTACACGTACATAGGTAGTGTGCACTTATTATTCGTAATTGTGTGACGGTTGGACGTAATACAGTACATACACACATACACAACTGTATACTTTGAACAAACTTTTGAATACACACACACACACACACACACACACACGGCGCGCGCGCGCACACCTGGCAGTGGCCTCCTGGGAGTTGGTTGTGATCTCAATGGCCAATTGCACTGACTTCTGCAGAGCATCCCTAGTCCTCTGATCGACTGGCTCTGCCGACTGGATGTCGATGCTGGTTATCACGAGGCAGTTGGCAGGGAAGGCGAAGCGATCGCGGACCTTTCCCTTATCGTCTATACCAAAAACAGAGGCACGAATGATCTTTGCCGAGTTCTGTGCGGAGGGTAGGATTGGAGGAGAGAGAATTAGACAGTTAGCCAGCAGATATATATATACAGACTTATTCATGAGTCAAACCTCCGAAAAAGGACTCTTCCAGTTAAGGACGCCTATCCATAAGGCACACCAGGTCATGCCTTATTATTGACTACACACGCACACACACACTCCACTTCCTATATTATACCTTGTGAAAGTCGTCAAACTGGACCCCAGCCACAGCTCCTCTGATCCTAGAGGCAATGGCTTTGCAGGCGTCACCGACAAAGTCTGGCACCGAGAAAATCTTGGACGCCTCCTTCTCGCTCCCCTTGTCTGCCACCTCAAAATGCCTGGAAACGGTTCAGATTTACGGAATGAAAAGTGAAAAGCAATGCTCTAACGCTCTAGAGCAATAGTCATATGAATTCTAGGGCCATGTTGTGCTGAGGTCGAATGAATTCAAAGCGGTATCTCCCTCCACTCACCAGTTGTAGGACAGTTGCAGAGAGAGTCTGGCGTGGTCCGAGGTCTCAATGGTGATGATGTCGGTACAGAAGTCGGGCCCCAAGAGGAGGCAGAGGGCCTTGATGACATTGGGCTTCTTGGGTTTCCCGCCGGAGAGAGACAGCTGAGTGAACTGCTCGTCCGGCTCCAGCATGACGAGGTCGGGCCCGAACATGACACGTGCCGTCTTCTGTTTGTAGTCGTAGATCTGCACGGCGGCGTTGTGCGGGACTCGGAAGGTGATGACCCTCGTTTTGTCTCTCTTTGTAGAGACTGCTGCCCGAGCTGTGTTGTGGGGACAGTCAAGTGGTAGAGTAAGGAACTAAGGTTGCTAGTGGTTACAGTTAGCCGTGTACGTCAACAGTGCAGCCCTTCGTATCTGGACACCAAAGTATTCATTATTAGAGAGGGGCCCTTATTCAGAAATTCATGCAAAAAATTAACTGTTCTTTGGGAAAAAGGTGTCCCCCTTATTGGAGAGTTGTCCTCATTTCAGGAGTGCCCTTTGAAAAGGGTTTCAACTGTCAGTCAAAGGTTTCTTCTCCTCTCCCTTCCCCCTCCCTCTCGCTCACATCTATCGGAGCGGTCAGCGAGGGGTCTTTGGCCTGAGAGAGGAGATCTTCAACGGCCGGTGGAAGATGCTTCTCCCACAGTTCCTCGTCCTGGGTCAGCATGTACGTCGAACCACACACAGACCTCACCTGTCACGTAGAGAATGAGTGACTTTAGCAACTTGCACCCAGAGCCTCACAAATAGTTAAGATTTGCTTGTGTCT